TTTGAGTGAACGTGCATTTGCAGAATATAAAACATGCATTTAGCACTAATGATTTCATATAGCCAAGACAAAAACATATATTTAGAAAGATATTGCATTTATGGAGGTTGCATTTAGGAAGATCTAACTGTATAAAGGAAATTCATAATTTTTAAAATAGACTCATAAATTCACAAAGCAATGTAAACAGTTTTCAAAAAATCATTGAAAGAGTAAAGCGTTGTAATTTTGCTTTATATAGAGTAGCAGATTGTATATTTTATTTTTATCTTTTTATATTAATAAAACTAGTCCCAGTGGCTGATTTAAGTGCATACATAATCGGTTTACTTTGAATATATAAATGTTTAAATATTTTTTATTGCTCAGGCTTCTGAATGCTTTTGTTTCTTGAATAAACTAATAGCAAACATACAATCTACAATTGAATTATTGAGTGAAAAAATTTCTAAAGTTGAATTTTAGATAAAGAACATCTAACCAGAATCAAAAAACTGGAACATGATTTAAAGATACTTAAAAAAGGATTGAAATTCAAGAAAAACCGTAAATTCCAAGTTAAATACATCCAAATTACTAAGGCATGCCTTAACAAGGGATCGATAATTGAGTATTAACCTCCCTTTTGAATGGATTAGAATTTGATCAAAAATACTCAACTGCATTAGAAGTTCAAGGAAGTTAATATCGGTTTCATAATACTAGCTAGTATAAGGATGTTATGTCAAGATAATGGGATTGTCCTACGATGAGAATCCAGAGATTATTCCGATAAGAATATAAAGAAATGGATTTCGTTAATCAAGCATTAAAAATTGACCAATACTATATTTTAGGATCTTAATTGGGTCGCACGAAGATGTTCGTCTGATCTAATATTACATTTAGGGTTGAAAATTACATTTTACAAACTTACATAATTTCACATTTCATGTAAATTTCACACGTGATATATAGTACCAGCACTATGAACAACTCAGCTAGCATTATTTAACTAACTGTCCTAGCGTTACCAACCTAAAAAATTTCACTGGTCAATCAGATTTCAAGATCAGTTGTGACGCAGAAGAAACGCGAAAAATCAAAAAATCGCTCATAACTCAACATTTTATCTATGAAGTCACTTCCTGCGCACTAACAAAAAGTTTTCCTTGCGAAATTTTGGTACTACTAAAGCTCTTTCTAACCTAGCTTAATAGCAAAACCTAATCCTAATATAACAGCGAAATTTTTTTAGCGAAATTTTTTAGGTTGGTAACGCTAGATCAGTTTATTTAATAAAATTACGGTAATTTTACATTATAAATACGAACTTTTCAGGCCAAATTTATTTATAGTAATTCCTTTCAATTTAATTTTTTTGTAGTGTAATGGCAACCGCAGTTTCGAGAACAGAGTGTAGCGTTGGGGGTTAGTGGGGCTGGTGGTCGTTCAAGTAGTAAAGGTCTGTTTTATTATTGATGAATAAATATTTACTCGTAAAAGGATGCATATTCTCATAACATATAGTACAAAACTTGGGTCACTTCCTCAAAAGGCTAGTTAACTTGATTCAAGATAATACAGAATCCAAGGTATTAACGTATTTCTTTGTTTTTTAAAACACGTATTTTGAATAAGTCAACAATCTGTTTCTTTTAGGTGATCACTCAAATCGAAAATGAAATTAATGCAGAACTATGCAAAGTACATGATGTGGATATTATAGAACTTGAATTGCCACGTATAAAGGCCGAGGGTGATAAAATTTTTGAAACGATCCATGATATTTTTAATGCTGAAATTGTTGACAATAAATTGTTCATCAAGGTAAGGCACCATCTTTGTTTATATTATTTTATATGCATTTTCTAATTCTTTTGTTACTATTCAAGTTTAATGGTTTGGTGAAATCCGAAATACATAAGAAAGTGATGAATTCACTTGATCAACAACTTCCACCAACTTGGTTGACTGCGATTGATGCAATATGTGTTGTTAACGGTAGTCAGTATCGACCTGATATAGGTGGTTGGAACCCTAAACCAGCACTTAATCAAAGAATTAAACCTATAATTAATCAATGTCCACCACCGTTGCTATGGATTGAGGTGAAGACTTCATTCCTTTATCTTCAGAATTATGCAACTATTTCTTGACAATAGGCTAAAATATTGATAGGTGACCTATGACAATTCTGAGGATCGTGATAATGCTATAAATAAATTCACACGCATTCAACCCCACTGTCCGACCACAGAATTTGTAATCATCATTGTTCCGGCTACTGAAACAACTTTCCCAGCAAATTTAAATCCAGGCGTTGGTTCAGTGGCAGCAACACCCAAAACTGCATGTCCTTCTCATGCTCCATATCTCGGCCATTTGTCTGCGGGAAATATTATTACTGCGATTCAATGGTACAAAATGAAATGGAATAGACATCTTGTATTAGAATGTGGAGCGAACATAGATTTTAATGATATACTTGAGGTCTTAACATAAATTTTATATAATCAGTGTTAGTAATATTGATATCGGAATCTAATTTGCAATAATAAATATAAGGATTTGCTATATGACGAAGTGATATAGAGGCTAGAATGGTGTTCTACTACTCTATATCAAAATGAATTAAAAGAGCATTATTTAATATTTATTGAATATATATAACTTTAGAGATAAAACCTTATTATAAGATAATAGCACATAGTGCCAGGATTCCTCTTATTTTATAATTCGTTATATAATAAAGTGATATAGAAGTTAGAATAGATGTTTTTACTACTCAATATAAAAAGAATTAAAAGAGTATTATTTAATTTTTATTTAATACAATATATATAATTTTAGAGATAAAGCCTTATTATAAAATAACAGTAATAGTACCGGATATAAAGTTCAACCCTACTCGGGATAAGTTCTGAAAAGACCGAATAAGAACCGGTCTTTTAACCGGCCCTATGGTTATTCGGTCTTCGGTCTTAAGACCAGTCCGAACCGGTCTTCATGAACTAAGAAATTATGTTACATAATCGCTTATTTTTGACTACGTACCGTTTAATTTTCTCAGCCGGCCTAATAAAATGGTTAGGTTTTCACAAATTCTGGGATGCCTAAAAATTTGCTCTTTTTCCGAAAAACCTCGTTCTAATAACAACCTAACCCATTCATAATAATTTTGCTATGGACTATGATGGTTAACACTACTTAATGCCGGTTCAGTTCCGATGCATCCGACCTAGAATTTTGGTGATCCCCCTGTAAAAAATTATAAGGACCGTTTTGAGACCGAAAAAAACATTAATCGACGGATCGGACCGACGATCATTTCATGAGTCATGTGGTAAGAATTCATTTTTTTAAGATGACAAATTTTAAGGTTAGACCGGGGGATTACAAATTTAGCGCATAAAAGGTACCGGTACATACGTACATACAAGCTCATATGATACATATAATCGGATCGACGATAACCAGGGATTATCCTTTTAAAACATAAAATTTCTTAATCAAATGATTTAGATATGTCTTTTTATGCAAGTTGCGAAAATCATGAGTGTAATATGTTGTTATCTAAAGCTAGATATATTTTTGCTTTTTTTTTTTAAAGTTAATGATGCCAATCATATGAAAATAAACCAAATCCGAATGGGTAATCTCATTTTTTTTTGTTATAAATAGCCAATCATATCGACATATGTTAATCATTGCATAATAACTTATAGTTAATCGACTTGACGCATAATCAAGGGACATCCGATTTATTGGATGTTATTTGTAAGCAATAAAATATTAATTCTGTAATTCAGTAATTATCACTACTTGTACACATTTAAATATATATTTTTTTTTTTGCGTTCAAAAATGAACATTAAAAGTATAATAAATTTATATTGATAAAATATATACAAATTATTATATAATGATTTTAACAAATTTATATATAAAAATCTATGTCGAAAGTGTATATAAAAAAATAAGTACAGTATTAAAAATATCATCAAGATATTATGTACCGAGCGACGAATCAAAGATCTTCCCAAAATATACTAATGACTTAAAAAGACTATACAGAAACAGGGGAAGAGTATAAACTTCTAATCAATCCTAAGAAATTCATACTTAATACTAGTATGAATATATATATATGTATAAACAAAAAATAAATAAAATTTTTTCTTAGGAAAAAAAAAAATATTACAAAATTAAGATTTATATACTTTTCGTTTAGAAAAGCTTTTTGATTGTGTAAATAAAAACACTTTATATTTAAAACATCTCAATGTAATATAAACCCAACCGGGAATAAAGAATGTATGTTATTGCGTGATTGTATGATAAAAGAAAATTACAACTATTCAGAGAAAGAGAAATCACAATATCTAAAAAAAAATTACACTTGGACTCTTTCTCTGAATAAAAGAAGTCTATATAAAGTACTTTTCATCTCTCATTTCAATCTCTTGAATTGGAGATACAAGAAACTCCAAATTCATGACAATGAAATACACCTTTTTCCTTCGAAATATATATATATATGTATTTTTACCGACTAGGGCTAACGACAAAGTTACCGCCGTTTACACAATTCGGTTTATTGTTCTGGTAGTTGCCATTCGATTTTCGGGAACTACTTTTACCACCTTTTAGACGTGCAGGACTATTTTTTTGTTTTGATCCAGTCTCCTGCTGTTGTGATATTATTATGGGAACTTGATGTTGCACAATCGCATTATCATCTTTTTTATCAACCTTTTGAGAACTGTTGTTCTTTTTGTTTTTTCCATTTCGATTTTGATTTTGATTCTGATTTTTACGATACTGGACATTATTTCGTTGACTGTTGGAATTGTTAGAACCAATATTCATGGTCTTAGGCATGTTGGAATTATTAGCGGTCTTTGACGCATTAAAACTATTTCCATCAAAAGTTTTATGCACAGAATTATTGGCATCCCTTACATAATTCATGTTGCATATGGTATTGTCGTAACTTATAGATCGAGATCCATTGTTGGAGTAATTATTATTGCTGTATTTAACAGAGTTCTGACTACCGCCATTCATAGACTTTACAATGTTGGCATAATTATTATTGTTAGCACTACCATTGGACATTTTTAGAACCTCTGAATAATTACTATTGTTGTTTCCAAAGTGAGATCCATTATTAATGGAAAGTGGTCTAATAGGACAGCTCTCATTGTTCGGATAACTACTATTTGTAACTTTTGATTCATGCGTGTAATTTCCATTAGTCTGATTGCCACCATTCATTGCCTTTGAACCATTAGCATAATGATTATTCTGGTAACCATTTGTCGACTTCGTTCCGTTGGAATAATTGCCATTATTTGAATGTCCATTAGTTGAAGTCTTTAAATAATTTGAGTGATGGCTGTGGTTCATCGTTTTTTGCCCGCTAGAGAGACTTTCGTTGTTCACATCATACTTTATATCCCTATAGCCATTAAAATAGCCATTGTGATTACCTCCGTGATTCCCCTTCGAATGATAACTATTATTATTATTATTATTATTGTTATTATTATTATGATTATTATTATTATAATTATTATTATTGGAGTGACCACCATTCGTCGCCTTCATGACATGAACATTGTTACGGGGCGTAACTGAAATATAAGTCGAATTGTTGTTGTTAACTCCATTATAAGTTTTAAATCCATTGGCACTATAGCTCATACTATCATTGGACCCTTTGGGCATTGTATGATGATGATTTAACTTTGGCGAAGTTGAATAATTTGATACCATACTTTCATTATGCGTGCTGGTGACGGATTGACTTCTAACTGAGTTCACGGATGTAGGAACTGAATTTGGCTCGTTAGATAAATTACGACCTTGAAAATTTTGTCCATTGCAATTATCGACGTTACCAGAATTATTATTATAATGTCGCTTCTTTTTGCCAAAGTTTGAACCATTATGCTGATGATTGTTGGAATAATAATTGTCCCTAGGTTTGTTTGAATTGACATTCTGTTGATAGCCATTACTACTATAACTTGTGTTGCTACTGTTAACACTAGTATGACTATTCGAACCGTCGGATGATGATTGATGTGACAGGCGTCTTGGAAATGGAAAATTTTCGTGTGATTGCGAGTTATGATTCTGAGCATGTTGTGACGAGTAAATCGACATGTTATTCGGAGGTATATAAGCGGCTGCGACTGGATGTATCGGTTTTTTGTCAAACATTTGCATTGTTAGCTGGACATGACCTCCGTTGATTTTGGGTGGTGTTAAATTTTGATAATTCTTAAAGAGTGTATTATTCTCACCACACCCACCGTATGCATAAGATTTATAATTAGACTCCTCGTTAGGCCTCGATGAATGGCAAGATGGCTTCGTATGCAAATTTGCAGATTTGTTGTATGTTTGACCAGGTCTGATATTCGAAGCTTGAGTCGTTTGACAACCGAGATTTGGGCTGGATTGTTTGTCAGGATCATGAACTGAATTTACGTTAGATAAGTGATTGAAATTTGATTTCATCTCTCTAACGGGTTTGTGATCTGGAACATGTGGAAACTTTTTTCCTGATTCATGGTCAGGATTCCGGTTTGTCCCGACCATAGATTTACTCTGTATATTAAAAGATTTCTGATTAGGTTGACCGATATGCTTTTGACTCGATGTACAGATAAGCTTATTGTTCAATGGCATTGTAGGCTTATGCGCTGATGCATAAGTCGGTATCCTATTTGATTCGTCACCAGACTTTTGTGTATTAATAGGTGATTCACTCAATTCTGAAGATTGTCTTCTGTTCCCAGAAGAATTCGGTATCTGAATCGCTTCAGATGGATACATTTTATAATTGGAGCGCATCCAATTAACATCGGACACAGAATCTTGTTTCGGATCAGTGATAAAATTTTGATTGTAATGGTCATAGTTATGAGGCGGTACGAATATATTACCAGTCTTCGAATTCGGATAATATTTGGAGTTGATTGATCTCTGATATGAGTTTTCATCATCATTCTTATATGACTCATCCTTTTCTCGAGAATCATTATTATCACTCACTATTCTACCATCTCGTTGTTTGTAGTATCCATTCACACGGCCATTTTGATGGTATTTGTAATATGCAGATCTTTTTCCACCTTGTCTGTTGTAATATCCGACCATCCTATTATTATTGAAATTATTTGGAAATATATATCGTTCACAACATGACAGCAGACTTTCTTTGCCTTCTTTTTCATAAAGGATTTTGACTGCTCTACGGAATTCTTCTTTTAGTCCATTAACACTGACGTCATCGGCACTGTTACCAAGATTCCTTGATGTGTTGAAAGGTTCTTCTACGCATAAAAGTCTCCAGCCTTTACCAGTCTCGCCCCATCCTTTTTCTTCTTTAGTAAGGTACCTACCTTCCCGAAGAGATATTACGTTATGTTCGTAATCAAATTCATAAGCAAAACTAATCAATGTAAGAATGAAATTTTTAGTCGAACCGAAATTTAATTAAATTATTAGAGATATTAGAGATTATTAAATAAAGACATAAATTAAAGACATATAAAACTCACCATCGGAAAAATGCAAATAATAGACCACCAACCGATTCATTATTCTTATTACTGTTGCCAAATCCTTCCAATTTTTCGATATCTTCGTAAAATGACACATCAACTCCATGAACTATATTAGGCTCGTGAGGGATTTTATGAAGCACTGGTAATATTGGTGGATCACGCATTTGTAGGAAATTCAAAATCATGCACGTCCAAGTATATGTAGACAGAGTACCACCTTTGGCTATTAGATTAATATTGTGAGCTTACAATTAGGAATGATTCGATTTTACACCTCATAAATTGAAATATTACGGTAACAGTAATGAATTGACTAATAAAATAAGTAACAATTCCAGATAATTCATTAATCATAAGCGTACCAGCATCATTCAAAACTCTTTGTCGTGCCCAATGTTTTATCATCATTGCCAATGGACGAACTCTCGAATCAATATCTACATAAGTCTTTATTAGCCGTGTGTTATACAGGGCCAAGGTGTTATTGACATTGATATCGCATGCCAAATTTCTATATATATATATTTATATATATATATAATTTTTTTTGTTTTTAGCATTGAAATTATTTAGCATTATGAAAAAAGTCAAACATTAACACGCATAATTACATACAAAGTAGGATCCCAAAGTCTAACAATAGGTACTTTAGCTTTTGGAACGCAGTAAATTCCTTGCATTCCATCTATTGTTAATTAATAAAAGATTAATTGGGGGGTTTTTTTTTAATGGCACAATATGATACAGGTTGAGAATAATCAATTTTACATACGTTTTTTCATCCCTCTAGCTAATATATTTATATTTTTCAATCCATTCCACGGAGTTGTAACGCATATATCTACATCGGATGTTGATGTTCCAAGTGAGTTCACGGATGATCTAAACGAATTTAATATTTTAATGAATTAATAAAGAAAATTTTCGAATTAACTAAATAATAATAATAAAATAAATAAGAAAAATAAAATTATGAATTTATATAATAAAATTTACCCGAACAAATTGACTTTTATCTCGTGATCAGGCCACTCTTCGTTTAATATTCTCTCTATTTTATCGATAAATTGCTTTCTTCGTTCATGACTTTCATTTGTAGGAAGTAATTCCTAAAAGATAATGTAAAGATTAATTAAGAACAAAAGATTATTATTAATACTTAAACATCATACCTCATATAACGAGTATATTGCTTCAGAAAGACTTTTTTCACTACGGAGAGGAAGTGTTTTAGGAATTATATTCTGGTTGTGGCATTGAACTTCCTGAGTCGTCGATATTTTGGCATTGAATTCACTTGCCATAGCGGAGTTGTGTTGATGGTCCTCTTCATTAGTTTGAGAAACATTGTCTGCAATGGTATAAGAGTCCTGCTCTCGCAACTGACTATTACTTATGAAACGGTGACGAAGTTGTATGCTTTGAACATATATGCCGTTATTCGTACTTATCGGACCGTTTCTTTGTTTATATGAATTATGTGAAAACCCCGAAGAAGTCCTATCCGCTTGCAAGTCTTTTATCGTAGACGTATGGCCATTATGGTTATAAAGGTCGTTGCTACTTGTCTGACTTTGCTGCTGAACCATTTTGTTGTTTTTTTTTTTCTAAAACAAAATAATAGGTTTTTGATTTTGCTTTTTTATTTCAACACAAAAAAAAAAGTAGGGTGTGCAAGGAGAGCATGAGCTAGGACAAGGAATTAGGTGATGGGAAAAATAACTTACACAGGAAATAAGTTCGGAGCTTGCTCGAGTATTCAGGTAATTTGTAAATGAATGATATTATGTAAGAAAGTTGAAGAAAGCTCGCACGTCGATATATAAACTTGAGGTGAGAGTCTGGAGAGAAGTAGGTCAAAAAAAAAAGTTTATATCAGGTTTGTTGATAGGAATAACCGAATGTCAAAAGGCGTGGGTTTATTTTTCTATTTTTTGATATGATAGTGGGCTTAATGAAGCGTGTTAATGTAATGTGATGCAGATGCATTCATCGAAAAACAATTTCCAAATTTATCCGAGACCTTCCGGCCCGTGTAACTACAGTACTTTTTACGAGCATTTATCTGTACAAGCGCATGACACGGCCCAACATCATAATCTCGATTACCTGACGGTCGGTTCACTTGAAAATCCTAGCTTAAAAATTGGAAAATTGTTATCCTACATTATTATATAATTATATAATTAAAGGTATATAATTAAAGGTAGCGTGAATTAATAAATTCTCTCACTGTTCCTTGAATCGTGACAATAATAATATTACATGAAAGTTTAATAAAAGTGTTGATATCGATATTGATATTAAGATAAAATAAGACGGACATGATCAACAGTTCATCATGTTACCCTGCATGGGGCAAATGGTCGACTACCGTTTTTTATAGCATCATGATTAACGTATCGGTATCATTGACACAATTTTGACTTAATCTGATCTGTCAGCCATTGGATTGTTGAGGACAATGGACAATAACCGGCAAAGATGCGTAAAAGTTACACGACAATTATAATTTCCCAACGTTATGAGACAACTTCATCCCTGCTGGGTCTAACCTCACTTTTTGAGGCTCCCTTCTCGTGATAATACGTAATGATTCGATTGTAATTGACGTAGTACAGAGATATTTCATTGACAAGTAATTTCGGGAAAGTGGATGACTATGTATTTGAATAGCATACGCACATGCCATTTTTTGTTTGTTTATCGTCATTTGTATGAAATTATTGAAGCTGGTTTCTATCGATTGTGACAAGATCTTTAGAACACAGGATAAAAAAGACCGGGTACAAATACCGTCTCTTGTACTCCCACGTGGGCTGTGAGGTATGACATAATTAACGTTATAAAGATGATCAATTAACAGAACTGCGACATAATGTCACACGAATAATAAATGTTGGACAACCTTTCAGGATACCTTTCAGGATGAACAGTGTTTGATGCCGATTATTAATTAATATGCATTCTATGAAATTCAATTAATTAATATACGTACCGGTATTTTTTTTTTATTGAATTTATTCGTACGTATTTGTATTCAAATGCAATTGTAAATTAATTTATCGACAAATTTTACTTAACTTCTCCAATAACTTTTTATGAAATGGAATATTCAACATAAATAATCCTTTTGCTGTTAGAATTCGATGGGTTGGCATAGGTTGATATGTCCCAGGAATTATTAGCCCGTCTTTTACTTGAACCATACCAAAGATATCTTCTGGATAGGGTATGCGACCTAACATCATGTGATGTACAGACCACGTGAAACAGTTTGACAATAAAATAACAACGAAATTCGCTATGGAAAAGTGGCTTGTTTTCATAGCAAATTATATTAAACAGGAATTTATAATAGAAGGTAACCTGTATTTTTTTTTAAACCATTACTTACCCCAAGGTGCAGGATCACGAACATCTTTTGATCATTAATTGACGATCAGCAAACGAAGTACGTACGTACGTACATGGGTAAGTACAAATTAGTGATTAAAACCTAACTTACCAGCAACATGAAGCCAGCTGATTGGTTAAAAGAAACAATAGAAATAAACTATCAAGGTTGAAAGTCATTATGCATGAATTGATTACAATTTTTAAAGTAAATTCTTACCCATTTTGTTGATACTTGGCCAAAGCTTGTAATTGAGGATCTGCGTCTGCTACATTATCCGCTATCACTTGATGCAAGAACTTTATAAAATTATTATTTTCCTTAAAGTTCCCTACCATCAACTTTGGCACTCCTGTTTGAAATGGTACCCAACCAATCACTGATATGTCATATTTCTCAACTTTTTTGCGATCAGAGATAAAAGATAACGAATAGTTTACTGCATCATGTGTGGAGTGATAAAAGAGTCCTTTGTAAGTTGGATCTTCAATAGTGGTTTGGAATCGTGCCTGTGATGTGAATGCGCTGTTAAGATTCATAAGCTTAGCTGTTAACCAAGACTTTCTATCACGGTAAGGCACTGCTAATCTCTTTGGTACATTCGTAAGTTGTCCGATTAACCCCGTCATAAGATCGTTAAAGAAAAACTTGGGCGTATCACTCGTTATATATATTTATATATATATATATATATATATAAAACTCGTGGCTTGTCTTGGTTAGGTCGTGTGCTCGTCAGCTGATCAAATGTGCTCTTACGTCATCTAATATGAATTTTGAAATCCACATTGCGTAAGTCAATAAGTCAAAGACCCATACACGCTTTTAAGCTTTGTCATTTCAGTCCTTAACTTCCAGTTATGTCTCAAATGACGACAAATGAAGTACCTACTCCGCAAATTCCAAGGGATAACGTTGGTTATCTTGATGAAGCTTATATAAGTAACCTGTCTGAGCGCTCTCACTTTGGTTCGAATTATATACCTGCTTCAGAAGATTCCGAGGAAATACCTGAAATAGGAACCCCTCCTCCTCCAGCACCGAACGCCCTAGACGATGTAGCTTCTGACGCGACTGACGAAGAATGGGAAGAATTACTTGAACAAACCCAGCAGATTCTCGTCGTATTTATACTTCCATTCATAGGACGGTGGCTAGGTCGAAAATTTTCTTTCTGGGGTAATTATTAATTCTTTACTGGAACTAGCAATATCCTTTAATATATTAATTTATTATTTATATCAACTTGTGAATTTGACTAATTTGAAATTGTTATCTAGCATGGACTAGGTTCGTTGACTGGTATTACAATCCACCAGAATTGCGGCCAAAACCTTTTGTTGAATGATAACATTACTTAGTTTGAGTTTGGGAATCGGGATTTCTACTTCACTTGGGATAAAACCAACGTTATAAATTATTTAAATTTCAGTTCCATTTTCAAATTAAGAACCTAAGAGTGATTTAACGACTAAGCAGGATTGTTAAATAAATTGATATGTTATACGGAAATATATATATACGATAAGTGAAAAACAATTATAAAAGTGAGTTTTCACATCCAAAATAAAGAATCATAAATAATAATAAACTTTTCGACAAAAAAGTTTCCTTAAAAATTCGAGAAGTGCCCAACAGCTTTTAGGAAAGCAAAAAACCATTAATAAAAATTGTTAATTGTTCGTGATCATGATCCAATTCCAAGTCTCGAACCATAATCAAAGGCTATCGCAAAACAGCTGTAGTATTCTTAGTAAATTAACACAGAAATCTATGAAGCAAGGATTAATAATTTGAAACGAGTATAAATAATCATTAATATTTTATCGTTATGAATGATGCTACGTATTGCATTCAATGAAATTTTCGCTGACAAGAGCCATTCAATCCAATACAATGAAATTTTCGCTGACAAGAGCTCTTCCTTAAAGACACCAAGAATTAACAAAGCAAATGATACTTACCTTCGGTGTCCTTGTCAGTGAAACGTAACAGTTTTTTTAATATTGGATAACGGCTACGATATCAACCGGTTACCTGGTTACGAATTTTTTGTTACTATATCTGATATATAATCATTACCTAAATTAAATATATCGTTATATACCTATATATACGTATATATATATATATATATACTTTTTTTCCCCACCTTTAACGCAATTAATTCAATTTTCGCACGTAGCCAAATCTATTCATTTATTTCGTAGCTAAACCTATTACGTACTTCATTGATTTGTAATCTTTTTTTTTTTTCAATGAAAATATAAAGATTGTAAAAGATCAATCCTTGTACAGTAATTAGTAAAGTGCACCCTGCTTGTTACCGAAGTAACAATTCCTGCATATTAAACCATTAACGTTAAACCATTATCAATAATTATAGGCTTAATTGAGACAACACTAGGTTTTATGATTATTTCTTTAATACATAAAACATTCAAGAACATGTAAAAAAAGTCAATTGAATTGAATAAACAGAAATAGAATTATCCAAGGGAAAAATTATTAATACACTTTGTAATAATTTAGATCAAATTTGATTCGTATAAACCTTTTACCATCATATATAACATATTTATTGTTATATTGTCAGCTTTGAAATCCATCATCCATATATTCATACCTATGTTATTAGTAATGAATTACCCATAAAATAATTCAAACTCTAGTTTTTGAATTAACTGTTTCGCAAATGTTTCCAACTTGTCATAATGTCAAAACTTTTAGCATTTAATTTATATTACGGCTATTAATCCCAAAATTTTAAAAATGAACTTCTCTATTTTTTATGTCGTACTAGTTGCAAATTAATTTTTTGCTGCCGGATTCATGAACATAGTGTCAGTGTTTTTAATGGACATATGTGTGGATGTTACACCAAAAGAAATGCTAATAACTCAAAATTTATTATAACAACTTGATCTAAAGTACCAAGTAAAAATGTTTTATCATTAAATTTACATATACTTCTGATAGCATCTATTTAGACACATGGATATTCATGGACATTCAGAAGAAATCCATGGGCATAGTAATTTGACGGCACTGCATACTTTTTAACGTTGGTATGTCCAAACACTTTGAAAAAAAATTGTCAGCATAGTTTAAATATAATGTGATTCAAACATACAAGCAACTCTTACCTTTTAAGAACTAGTAATAAAAAGAATAAAGCCTGCGTTAACAAAGTTTTCGGAAACAACAAACACAGAAATGATCATGTAAAACTCACAGCCGTCTTTTGTAGCTAACCGGTTCAAGGAATCATCGGATTCACCCGAACAACGGACGAAACCGCACAATGCATAGGTTGTATAAGTATTAGTGAAGCGACCTTTTTCGTCAACCTCTCCAACATTGATCTGAACAGACGCATGGTCTTTTGCCGTGATTAGGCGATTAGTCGCAGAGCTGTATTGAACATAATAGTGCTCTTGTTACCAAAAACTTCTCAATTTCAAGACAATTCATTGGTTTAAGTGGAAGTACACAAGAAGACTTTGAAAAAGTAATTATGATAAACTAACCATTTCCTAGGTGGATAAAGATCAAACTGAGCGCCTTGTTCGTTTTGCATTTTACTCGCAAAAAAATAAAAAAAAAAAAATCTACGCCAACAAATTTAAAAATCTTATCGTCACACGAGATGTTAATTCGGTAATATCTCATAGGACATTCATCTGATTGGCTGATCGATTCAGTTCCGCTTATAACGTTTTAAAGTACTTTTTTTAAGAATTCAATCGCATATAGCTTTGAAAAGCCACTAACGCAAAAATACCATTTTTGATGGATCGTCGGTACTGTTTTTTGATAGGTAGCAAAAAAAAATAATCTACATACCGTTCTTGATAGGGTTCTAAAAAAGAACCTCTAAAATACTATACTACTATAGTGAAAAACAATTA